GGAATTACAGGTACGTGCTACCATGCCTGGCTAATTTTTTATTCTATTGTAGAGACGAGGTCTCACTAAGTTGTCTAGGCTGGTCTCCAACCTGCAGGCTCATGCAATCCTCTCGCCTCAGCCTCCCAAAGTGCTGGGATTATAGGGTGAGCCACTCAGCCTGGCCAAGTAAATTTCTTAAGTAACTTATTATCTTCATTGGAAGGAAGGAATGAATTGTTTTTCAGGATACCTAAGAAGTTAGGATCAGATCAAAGAAAATTATTTTTTGCTTACCTACTGTGTGCAAGGCACCTGCTGAGTGCTGCAAGGGATAAGTCATGAGTGGTTATCCCTTGCAGCACTCAGCTACGGCCTTCTCTTTTTAATTTTTAAGGGGGGGGAGTCTTAACTCAGCAAGGCCAGGAGGCCTGGTTGTAGACAATTCAATTGTAGACATGCCCAAATTGAGTATTGTATTTCCTCACTGCATATCCATGAGCTGCTATTTAATTCATGCTCGAAGGACATAACATATTACGCACACCTGATACACCTGATACACCCGTACGTACACGTACATGTACACGTACACGTACACCCGTACGTACACGTACACGCATTACGCAAAGAATATAATACATAATAGGATTATATACGCAACCCCCCCACCCCCCGTTACTATAATATTACTAACGCAATAATATACTCCTGCCAAACCCCCAAAACAAGAGAATTACGCCAGCTCATATAGCTAACTCACATATACCCAATTATATTCTTCGCTTCATGTGTATTTGATTAAATTACAGAGCCATGTACCTACTAAGGAATGAAATCCATAGTTAAACTTATATTTTCAAATAACACTATTAATTAACCAACCATACCTTCCCTAAATTCCCAACTTAAACCCTAAAATTCCTAAACAATACAACCCAAATCTTTATATTCCATTTCCACTCACTTAATAGTCCCAATATAACCAATACTGACATAATACTTTAGCTCTACAAATAAATAGGTTAATGTAGCTTACAATTAAAGCAAGCCACTGAAAATGCCTAGATGGGCCCCAGCCCCATAAACATACAGGTTTGGTCCTAGCCTTCTTATTAGTTCCTAGTAAAATTATACATGCAAGTATCTGCCCCCCAGTGAGAATGCCCTCTAGGTCCCAACAGACCAAAAGGAGCAGACATCAAGGACACTAACAAGTAGCTCATACGTCTTGCTTAACCACACCCCCACGGGACACAGCAGTAATAAAATTTAAGCAATAAATGAAAGTTCGACTAAGTTATACTAGAAACATAGGGTTGGTAAATTTCGTGCCAGCCACCGCGGTCATACGATTAACCCAAACTAATAAGATCCGGCGTAAAGCGTGTTTAAATTATACTCAAACTAAAGTTAAACCCTGACTAGGCCGTAAAAAGCTACAGTCAAACCTAAAATAACCCACGAAAGTGACTTTAATGTTTTGAAGACACGACAGCTAAGACTCAAACTGGGATTAGAAACCCCACTATGCTTAGCCATAAATATAAATAAATATGAACAAATTTATTCGCCAGAGTACTACAAGCAACAGCTTAAAACTCAAAGGACTTGGCGGTGCTTCACATTCTTCTAGAGGAGCCTGTTCTATAACTGATAAACCCTGATTAACCTTACCACCTCTTGCTAATTCAGTCTATATACCGCCATCTTCAGCAAACCCTAAAAAGGCCCTAAAGTAAGCACAAGTATAAACATAAAAACGTTAGGTCAAGGTGTAACCTATGAGGTGGAAAGCAATGGGCTACATTCTCTACTTTAGAGCACTACGAATATTCTTATGAAAACAAGAATTAAAGGAGGATTTAGCAGTAAACCAAGAATAGAGAGCTTGATTGAAAAAAGGCCATGAAGCACGCACACACCGCCCGTCACCCTCCTCAAATGCAACCCATACAACAATACATAAAAATAAATCATAACGCATGAGATGAGATAAGTCATAACAAGGTAAGCATACCGGAAAGTGTGCTTGGAATAGACAAAGTGTAGCTTAAACTCAAAGCACCCGGCTTACACCCGGAAGATTTCACAAATGGCCACTTTGCACTTAACCCTAGCCCAAGCTAAATTAACTAAATTATATAAAACCTTGTAAACTAAAACATTTACTTAACCTAAAAGTTTAGGAGATAGAAATTTATGCAGGCGCTATAGATAAAGTACCGTAAGGGAAAGATGAAAGACACCTTAAAGTACAAAAAAGCAAAGACACTCACTTTTACCTTTTGCATAATGAATTAGCTAGAATAATTTCACAAAGAGAACTATAGTCAAAAACCCCGAACGCAGATGAGCTACTTGTGAACAGCCAGAAGGGCACACTCATCTATGTCGCAAAATAGTGAGAAGATTTTCAAGTAGAGGTAAAAAGCCTACCGAGCCTGGTGATAGCTGGTTGTCCAGAATAGAATATTAGTTCAACTTTAAATTTACCTGCAGAACAAACAATCCCCATGTAAATTTAAATGTTACTCTAAAGAGGGACAGCTCTTTAGAAATAGGAAACAACCTTACTTAGAGAGTAACTAAAGTCTTTTCCATAGTTGGCCTAAAAGCAGCCACCCATTAAGAAAGCGTCCAAGCTCAACTCTACCCAACATGCCTTAATCTCAATAACCAAACATAACTCCTATAATTACACTGGACTAGTCTATAAGATTATAGAAGTAATACTGCTAATATAAGTAACAAGAAAATATTCTCCTCGCACAGGCTTATATCAGACCGGATAAACCACTGATAGTTAACAACCCAATATAAACAGTCACAAATATATGATTTATTAATCCCATTGTTAACCCAACACAGGCATGCGTTTTCTCAAAGGAAAGATTAAAAGAAGTAGAAGGAACTCGGCAAGACTTAAACCCCGCCTGTTTACCAAAAACATCACCTCTAGCATAACCAATATTAGAGGCACTGCCTGCCCAGTGATATATTAAATGGCCGCGGTACCCTGACCGTGCAAAGGTAGCATAATCACTTGTTCTCTAAATAAGGACTAGTATGAATGGCCACACGAGGGTTTTACTGTCTCCTACTTCCAATCAGTGAAATTGACATCTCCGTGAAGAGGCGGAGATATCTTAATAAGACGAGAAGACCCTATGGAGCTTCAATTTAACTACTCAACCAGTACTAAAACGACCTACTAGGACTATACCCAACTGGACATGAGCTGTAAATTTCGGTTGGGGTGACTTCGGAGCACAAACAAACCTCTGAATGATAATACCCAAGACTTTACCAGTCTAAGCAAAAATCATTTATTGACCCAAACTTACTTTGAGCAACGGAACAAGTTACCCTAGGGATAACAGCGCAATCCTATTACAGAGTCCATATCGACAATAGGGTTTACAACCTCGATGTTGGATCAGGATATCCCAATGGTGCAACCGCTATTAATGGTTCGTTTGTTCAACGATTAAAATCCTACGTGATCTGAGTTCAGACCCGAGCAATCCAGGTCGGTTTCTATCTATTTACTATCTTTCCCAATATGAAAGGACAAGAAAGATGGGACCTACTCCTACCCGAAGCGTCCCCTATTTAACAGATAAAATAATCTTAACCTAGTAAATTAATAAATAACCCTACCCAAGAACAGGGTTCGTTAAGATGGCAGAGCCCGGTAATTGCATAAAACTTAAAACTTTATTATCAGAGGTTCAACTCCTCTTCTTAACAACATGTTTATAATTAATTTATTAATCCGAATTATTCCAGTACTTTTAGCTATAGCTTTCCTAACATTAGCAGAATGCAAAGTACTGGGATATATACAACTCTGAAAAGGCCCTAACATTATTGGGCCCTACGGCTTTCTCCAACCTTTTGCAGATGCCATAAAATTATTTATTAAAAATTAAAAAGAAAAATTTACTTTAATGGGAAACAAAAATAAATACCTTATTTTACTTTCTTTTACAGTTAAGGACCATAAAAGAAGCATGAAAGGAAATAGGCAGTGCTCTTTGAAATAGTCAAAGGTGAAGAGAAGGGCAAATAGTATTTTAATAGTCAGCAATGGGGAGAGGAGAGTTCACTTGACTAGAGTGTATGCTTTCTGAGCAGTGGGAAAAGGATAAATGAAGACAAAGATTTTAAAAAGTAAGTAGGTAGAGATAACAGTGACTTGCTTGGCTGGAGAGAAGAATACATAGGGAAAAGAAAAGAACAATGCATTTGAAAAAATAAATGTGCCACAAACTATTTCAGCCTTTTATTGCATACTTAATTTGATAGGAAGAGTCAAATACTCAATGATTCTAGTTGGGAGTTGTGTTGAAATATTAATTTGATGTTCTTAGTGGATTAGTCTGAAGTGGAAACTAATGGGCAGGGGTTTTGGGCAATTTATTCTTGCCAAGGCTCACTTATCTCATCTGCAAGACAGGAATAATGATGCTGGTGCCATGGCATGGTTGTGTTCAGATAGAGCAACATGAAGTGCCTGGCATGGTCCCTGATATGTACTGAGCATATTGTACCAATTACTATCTGTATGTCCTGATCATAGCTAAGCAATTCAGATAGGAATACAAAGTCATTTCAGTTAATTCTAGTCCTACATATATATATATATATATATATTTTTTTTTTTTTTTGAGTTGGAGTCTCATTCTGTCGCTCAGACTGAGTGCAGTGGCCGCTCCCGGCCACCACAGCCTCAAACTGCTGGGCTCCGGCAATCCTTCTGCCTCAGTCTTCCAAGTAGCTGGAACTACAGGCACGCGCTACCACACCCGGCTAAGTTTTTGATTTATTGTAGAGATGAGGTCTCGCCAAGTTGCCCAGGCAGATCTTGAACCCGCGGGCTCAGGCAATCCACTCACCTCAGCCTCCCAAGGCACAGGATTACAGGCTGAACCACCGAGCCCGGCTCTATTCCTATAATATTAAAGCTAAATTACCTTTTATTTTTCTTTCCCACGGTCCTTTGGAAAGCTCACTGGATGGACATTTTAAACCAAACAAGAGTGACTGAATTTGTCTTCTTGGGACTTACTGATAACCAAGCACTGGAGATACTGTTTTTCATGGCATTCTCAGTCACTTATGGACTAACCCTTTTTGGGAACATTCTCATTGTCATTAGCATAGTCTTTACTCCACGTCTCCATACCCCTATGTATTTCTTCCTGAGCAATCTGTCATTTATTGACATCTGCCACTCATCTGTCACTGTGCCCAAGATGCTGGAGGGTTTGCTTTTAGAGAGAAAGACCATTTCCTTTGGCAACTGTATCACACAGCTCTTCTTCCTCCATGTTTTTGCTTGTGCTGAGATCTTTCTGCTGACCATTATGGCATACGATCGTTATGTGGCTATCTGTACTCCATTACACTACCCCAATGTAATGAACATGAAAGTCTGTGTACAGCTTGTCTTTGCTCTCTGGTTGGGAGGTACTGTTCACTCACTAGCGCAGACCTTCTTGACTATTCATCTACCTTACTGTGGCCCCCAAATTATTGATAGCTACTTCTGTGATGTGCCTCCTGTCATCAAGCTAGCCTGTACAGACACACACCTCACGGGAATGCTGATCGTGTCCAATAGTGGAACCATCTCTCTCATCTGTTTTCTGACCTTGGTCACCTCCTATACAGTCATCCTGGTCTCCCTTCGAAAGTACTCAGCTGAAGGGCGCTGGAAAGCCCTGTCTACCTGCTCAGCCCATTTCATGGTGGTTGCCCTTTTCTTTGGGCCATGCATCTTCATCTACACTCGACCAGACACGAGCTTTGCCATTGATAAGGTGGTGTCTGTCTTCTACACAGTGGTCACCCCTTTGCTGAATCCCCTGATTTACACCTTGAGGAATGAAGAGGTAAAAAGTGCCATAAAGCAGCTCAGGCAGAGACAAGGTTTTTTTCATTAAATCATATACATGAGGGGCACTGATTGCAAACATTCTTGCAGCCATGTCTGTAATGAGAGAGCAAAATTAAAGAGTCAAAAACATTAGGTAAAATGACATGGAACAAGTCAGATTCTGCATTAAAGACAGTGACTTATTAACTATTATTTAAATAAAGGCAAATATGTTGGAACATATAAGGGAAAATAACTCAGGAAAGTTTAAAGAAGGCTTTGGGTCCACCAGTAAAAGAATACAATTTGGGGAACTCAGTCCACTCTCAATTTCAGGACCAGGAACAGCTGTGAGAAGCTACTCTCTTGATTTATATTATTCTGTGGGTTATTGGCTCTAGGAAGCTATACATCACACATTTATACATTAAAGTGGTTTCAATTTTGCTTTCGAATATATTTTCAAGTTGTATAAATAAGTCTTTACTTGTTTATATTGCATTAAACTTTGTTGTTTTTGAATGCAATTATCTATGTCTAGATTTTTAAAAAACTTTTTGTCGTACTTTTATTTTGGTGAAATCAAGTTGGATATGTATAAAGAACTCATTTAAAAATAAACTCTATTAGCCGGGCTCGGTGGCTCAGCCTGTAATCCCGCACCTTTGGGAGGCTGAGTTGAGTGGATTGCCTGAGCCTGCGGGTTCGAGACCCGCCTGGGCAGCGAGACCTCATCTATACAATAAATCAAAAAATCAGCTGGGCATGGTAGCACGCGCCTGTAATTCCGATTACTGGGAAGGCTGAGGCAGAAGGATTGCCAGAGCCCAGCAAGTCGAGGCTGTGGTGGCCGGGAGCGGCTACTGCACTCCAGTCTGGGCGACAGAGTGAGACTCCAACTCAAACCAAACAAACAAACAAACAAACAAAACAAAAACAAAACAAAAACTAAATAAAATAAAAATAAACTCTATTAAGGTAAAATTTCTATTACATAGAATGTACCCATTTTAATTGTACAGCTTGATATTTTTCAGCAAAAGTGTACATATACCCACATTGCTCTGCCATTTTGATCAAGATTTAGAATATTTTTACCATCCCAAAGAGTTTCCTTCAGCCCCTTCTCAGCTAATCTCTTTTTCTCTACCCAAGCATCCAAGAATCTGATTTTTGTCATTGTAGATGAGATTTGTCTTTCTGAGAGTTTCATAAAGATTGAACTGTATAATTTCCCCTGTACATAGACTACTCATGTACCTAATCCTGACTTGTACACCACATCTCAATAATAGAATAAGGAGGAAAAAAATTTGAATCATATAGTATGTACTCTGTGCTTGACTTCTTTTACTCTGTGTGCTCTTTCTGAGATTAATCCATGTTTTTGTGAGTATCAGTAGTTTGTTTCTTTTTTATTGTTGAGTAATATTTCATTGTATGAATATAACACGTTTGTTTATTCTTTTGTGTATTGATGACAATTCCAGTTTTTGACAATTATGAATAAAGTAGCTATAAACATTTATGTATGGGCTACTTTGGATACATTTTTATTTCTCTTGGGCAAATACTTAGGGGTAGAGTTTCTGGAGCAATGGCAAATGTATTCTTGACTTTGTAAGAAATTGCAAGACAGTTTTTCAGAGTGGTTGTATGATCTCAATACTCTCACCAGAAGTATGAGAGTTTTACATCTGACAGTATTGTCAGTCTTTAATTTTAGACATTCTAGTGTGTATGTGATTTTGATTTTCATTTCCCTAATGACTAATGATGCTGAGCATCTTTTCTTTTGCTTAGTATCCCTTCATATATCTTGTTTTGTAATGTGTCTTGTTCAACTATTTTGCTCATTTATTATTATTTTTATTATTATTTTTATCTTCTTGTCACTGTGTTGTATATTCTGGACACAAGATATTTTTTGAATATATGACTTGCTAGGATTTTTTCTCACTCTATACTCTACAATTTCATTTTCTTGAAGATATATTTTGAAGAGCAGAAATTTTAAACTTGATTCAATGAATCATTTAAAAATTTTTATGGTTGATGCTTTTTGTCCTAAGAAATTTTTTTTAGTTGGAATCTCACTCTGTCACCCAGGTTGGAGTGCAGCGGCAGGATCATGGCTACTGTAGCCTGGACCTGCTAGGCTCAGGTGATTCTTCTACCTCAGCATTCCAAGTAGCTGGAACCACAGACATGTGCCACCATACCTCTAATTTTTTGATTTATTGTAGAGATGAGGTCTTACCAGGCTGCCCAGGCTAGTCATGAATTCCTAGGCTCAGACAGTACTCTCAATTCTGCCTCCCAAAGTGCTGGGATTATAGGCATGAGCCACTGCACCTGTCCAGTCCTAAGAAATCTTTGAAAATCTGAAAGATTTTCTCCAATAAATTAGCTTTAGATTCTAGGTCTATGATCTAGAACTTGATTTTCATATATGGTGTGAAATAAAGGTCGAGGGTTACTTTTTTCATATATCTGGTTGACCTAGTACCATTTGAAAAGATTATTCTTTCTCCATTGAATTATCTTGGTGCCTTTGTTGAAAATGATTGACTCTTAAAGAGTGAATTTATTTTTGGATTATTTATTCTGTTTCATTGACTTATGTGTCTGTACTTGCACCAATAGCACACTGCTTTGGTTATTGTAGCTTATAATACGTCTTGAAGTTATGTGGTATGAGCCCTCATTGACACTTTTCAAAATTGTTTTGCTATTCCAGGTTCTTTGCATCGCCACCCACATTTTTGAAATAACCTATCTATTTATACAAAGGAGAATGCAGGAACTTAGATTAAGATTGCCTTAGATCTACAGATGATCCATTTGGGAAAGAATTCACATCTTAATAATATTCAATCTCCCGATCCATGAACATGGTATATCCCTTTATTTATTTTTTTGAGTTGGAGTCTCACTCTGTCGCCCAGACTGGAGTGCAGTGGCTGCTCCCGGCCACTACAGCCTTGACCTGCTGGGTTCCGGCGATCCTTCCGCCTCAGCCTTCTGAGTAGCTGGAAACACAGGCGCGCACTACCATGCCCGGCTAATTTTTTTTTGTTGTTGTTGTAGAGATGAGGTCTCACCAAGTTGCCCAGGCGGGTCTGGAACCCGTGGGCTCAAGCAATCCACTCACCTCAGCCTTCCAAGGCACAGGATTGCAGGCTGAGCCACTGAGCCCAGCTTTTTTTTTTTTTTTTTGAGTTGGAGTCTCACTCTGTCCCCAGACTGGAGTGCAGTGGCTGCTCCTGGCCACTGCAGCCTTGGCCTGCTGGGCTCCAGCGATCCTTCTGCCTCAGCCTTCCAAGTAGCTGGAACTATAGGCATGCGCTACCACGCCTGTCTAATTTTTGATTTATTGTAGAGATGAGGTCTTTCCAAGTTGCCTAGGTGGGTCTCAAACCCATGGGCCCAGGCAATCCACTCACCTCAGCCTCCCAAGGTGCAGGATTACAGGCTGAGCCTACTGTCACCTTGAGCTTGGATCTTCCAGCCTTCAGAACTGTGGGAAATAAATTTTTCTTGCTTATAAAGTTACCCAGTCTATGGTATGTTGTTGTAGCAGCACAGAATAAGACATGTAGTAGAGTACATTGATTGATGTTCAAATATTAATCCTACTCTGACCTGTTGGAATAAACTTTATTTTTTTGTCCTCTTGTCATTGTGTTATATATTCTGGACATATGATCTTTGTTTGATATATGTCTTGCCAATAATTTTTCTCACTCTATGCCTTGCAATTTCATTTTCTTGCAATTTTATTTCTATTATCCCTTGTGGGATAATGGATTGCTGTTTTTACATATCATCAAATTCAATTTGTTAATATTTTATTAAGTATGTTTGAATCTATGTTCATGGGGATTCTTGGTCTGAGTTTTATTTTCTTGTAATGCTTTGTTTAGATTTGGTATCAGTAATGTTGGCCTCATAAAATGCATTGGGAAATGCTTCCTCCTCTTTTGTTTTTAGAAAGAGTTTGTATAATATTTTTTATTATTCATTAAATATTTGATGGAAACTGAGGATTTTCAAACAACTCCACTAATTATTTGCTATTTTCCCATTGAGTTGAATGTGGGCTAGTCTTAGTGACTGAGTTGAAATAAGTAGAATGTAGCAAAAGTGATGCTGTGTAACTTCTGAGGATGGGCCAGAAAAGGCCGTGAATCTTCTACCTGATTCTTTTGAAAGGTTTCCTCTTGGGTGGCTACCTCTCAAAACTCATCCACCATGCTATCCTATGATTTAAAGGAGTAGGATTAGATATAGATGAACATATAGATGGTCAGAGAGCTACCATCTAAAATAGTTACAACATCAATTTTAATGAGGAGAAAGGAATGAAACAGGGTATACTTTTTAAAATTAAAATGAATTTTAAAAATGTTGCAGAGACGGGGATCTCTCTATGTTGTCTGGACTGGTCTCAAAATCCTAGCTTCCTGCAGTCCTACTGTCTTGAGCTCTCAAAGTGCTGGGATTACAGGTATGAATCACTGTCCCTGGTGTGAAATAGAGTCCATTTAACATTAAAAATATACTGCTATTTCTTTGCTTATTCTAATAGGAACTTAGGATTGATAGAAGCTTTTGGGTCATTATTCTCCTGATCTGTCAACTTGTAGAAATAATGCTTTAGAGTATTCTGGAGAATTGATACCAGACAACGAGGCCATCCATACATTCCAGGCACATATTTTTTTTTTTTGAGATAGAGTCTCACTCCATTGCCCAGGCTGGAGTGCAGTGGCATGCTCACAGCCACCCCAGCGTCGACTGGCTGGGCTGGGCGATCCTTCCACCTCAGCCTTCCAAGTAGCTGGAACTACAGGCGTACGCTACCACACTCAGCTAATTTTTGATTTGTTGTAGAGATGAAGTCTCTCCAAGTTGCCTGGGCTGGTCTTGAACCCACAGGCTCAGGCAATCTACTCACCTTGGCCTCCTGAAGTGCTGGGATTACAGACTGAGCCACGGAGCCTTGCCTCCAGGCACATATTAACACAATGTAGAGTGAGTGATCTACTGACTCTAACTAACTAATAATGAATGATTGAAATGACAGAAAATACTCAAAAGGAGAAATAATCAGAAACAGTCAATTAAATAAACTGGGAGATGCTCATGAAAATATATAAATATCATTATTTAAATTGACAAGTGTAGCATATTGCCAATCTCCTACAATTCTCATATAAAACTTAAGTCAAAATAAGAGTTTTATATATTTATTATGAAGTCCAGATATCATTATTTTTACACATGTTAAAAACTTAGAAAATAATCTAATTATGCCTCTACTTTAAGTACTTATATATGCATAGTTATTCACACCCAGTAGTATCTGGTAGGCACAAATAAATTCACAATGCCTCATTTGTTTATTTGTATCACAGCAATAATACTCTATTGCAGCAGTCTTCAACCTTTTTGGCACCAGGAACCAGTTTTGTGGAAGACAATTTTTCCATGGACCTGGGTGGAGAGAGAGTTTCGGGATAATTCAAGTTCATTACATGTGTTGTGCACTTTATTTCTGTTATTACATTGTAATATATAATAAAAATAATTATATAACTCAGCATAATGCAAAATTCTGTACTTGGGACCCCTATACTTGTTTTCCTGTACTAGACAGTCCCGTCTGAGGGTGATGGGAGACAGTGACAGATATCACCGCCTCAGCTCCACCTCAGATCATCAGCATTAGATTCTCCTAAATAGCATGCAGCCTAACGTCCTCCCACATGCACAGCTCACAACAAGGTTCATGCTCCTTTAAGAATCCAATGCCACCCCGTTGATCTGACAGGAGGCGGAGCTCAGTTGATAATGCAAGTGATGGGGAGTGGCTGTAAATACAGATGAAGCTTCGCTGGCTCACCACTCACCTGGACAAGGATGTTTGAATCTGTGTTCAAGCTCCACCCATGGTCCAGGAGTGGGGACCCCTGCTCTATTGTATAGATAGAAGATGATTGTACCTGAGGTATTCAATTGTTGAATACAAAGTTGTTGAACAAATTTCTATATGGATACATAATGATTCTTCTCTCCCCTTTAAAGCAAGTCAACCACATAGCCAAGAGTGAAAATATTTTCACCTTATTCTTTATTCTCTATTTATTCAGTGAGTAACTAAACACATTTTTACCTTGTCCCCAAGTCTGAAAAGCTTTTTCTATGAAATGAAGGATAAATAATTTATTTTACTTTTTAAAATTTAAAGATGTAGGATACAAGTCAGAATTGGTTGCATAAGTGGTTTACATACAAGTGAAGTTTGGGCCTCCCATCGGATATCACTTTGCCTGGATTAGGATCAGGCACCCTTACTGATGCAATGTGCCTCCCCTCCCCTGGCTGTATCATGGTACTGCCAATCCCTTTCTTGCAGTATTATGTTTGATGTACAGAGTCCACTTATGAGTGAGAACATGTGGCACTCAGTTCTTTGTTTACCTCTCCAGAGAGTTGTGAAGATTAATGTGATTGAAAATGGGTACTACTAGAAATTTTGCTCGCTGGTATGAACAAAATAAGCAGACTTGTCTTTCTTCTTCTGTTACAGCTCACTGGCTAGAACCTTAATGACTGCCATGCAGCACTGTTTTGTCTGTCACATTGTAGGGCCTATTCCTGCACAAGAGGTCCCATTTGGGCTCTTTGGAAAGATGTTTCTCCTTTTGTCTGCCATTGCTTATAGTAAAAGAGCATTTTGTACAAATTCTATAATTCTCAAATTTGACTCAGCAATACGGCCAACCAGTTCAAATAAATATAGTTTTACACTGTTCAGGGAGTTATCTTTGGGAAATAAACTACTCTATTAAATATTTGATTAGTCTGTTGGAAGTTAATATATGATACCCAGAAAACCCTACCTAATGCCTTCATAATCATGCTTCTGTATAACTGAAATGGCTTGTTTCACTTAAGTTTCCTTCCCAGCACATTTCCTGGCAAAATTAATAATTTTCCTAATAAAAAATATGATAAGGCTCTTGTTTATCACAGAGTTATTAATCATACCCTCACCGATTGCCTGGGAAGTCCCAGCTGCATTTAAGCCTAACTTTCTCATTGATAGAGTCAGAGTGAACTATCGATTCCCAATGTGTCATGCTCTTTTGTATAAATGCATATGAGATACTGCCTGGAATATCCTCTTCAGATTCCCTGGTTTCTCTGCCCACTCAACACATGCCACTCTGTCATAATATGTGCCCCCACAACTAGACTCAAGATGTTGGGTTATAGATCATGTCGTATTCAACTTGGTATTTTCTTTCTTTCTTCTTTTTTTTCTAAAACAGGATTTGTTGAGAGGACAGAAAAGCTCCCACAACGGGAGGGGAGCCAAAGGGATTGTCCCAACTTGGTATTTTCTACCAGCTCTTAGAGCAATATTTGGCGACCATTAAGTGTTTAGCAATAAGTGCTTAATTGAACAAATTTTCTGCATAATAATGAAAATAAAGTTATTCATAAATTATTTTATGCCACTTCTGTGCTTAAACCATTCTGGTGGCTTTTCATTGTACTGAAAAAGTGTCTAGGCTGGGCTTGGTGGCTCAGCCTGTGATCCCAGCACTTTGGGAGGCTGAGGTGAGTGGATTGCCTGAGCCCACGGGTTCGAGACCAGCCCGGGAAACTTGGCGAGACCTCGTCTCTACAATAAAATAAAAAATTAGCCAGGCATGGTAGCGCATATATGGTAGCCTATAGTCCTGCTACTTGGAAGACTGAGGCAGAAAGATCACCGGAGCCCAGCAGGTTGACTCTGGGGTGGCCGTGAATGTGCCACTGCACTCCAGCCTGGGCAACAGAATGAGACTCCAACTCAAAAAAAAAAAAAAAAGATTCTAGACTTCTCGAGAAAACTTAGAAGATTTCTTTTCACCTCTTCAATATTACTCTCTTGCCACTACCACTCTCTGTCTTACACTTTAAGCTGTAATCACAATGACCACTCACTTCTTGGAACAAGCCAAGGTCTTTCCTAGCATAGGTCTTTTCACCTGTCATTTCCTCTGCCTAGAATAGTCATAATCGCTCTTTTATCATGGTTAGATCCTTTTCATCTTTCACATCTTAGCTTAAACGTAACTTTCTCTGAAAGACCCTCCTTGACCATTCAGTCTAAATGTGGTCTCTTCCATATTCTCTAATAGCACATTGCTCTATTCTTCTACAGCATGTATCACAGTTAAAATGTATTTGTTCATATTTTTGTTTTCTATATTCACTACACTCTAAACTCCATGAATGAGGGGCTATATATGTATCTTATTTGTGTCTATAAACCTAATACCTAGCACATAATAGGTGCTCAGTATATATGTGTCAAATGAATGGATAATAAGACATTCCTGTTTTATTGTTCTGATGGCAAGTTTTGCCTGGATACTTGAGAGAGTCAATAACTTCAGTAGTTCAAACTCTCCCTTCTCAGCCATCAGTCATATGGAAACTCAATTTGTTTAATTTACCAGTATCTTTTATGTTGTTTACACAAGAATCTGATTGAATGATGTATGTAGGCAAGGGTTGCCCAGAAATCTGAAGGTTGGTTTAGACCTTGATCATCATTCTAAGCAGAGAGAGGCAGAATAATGTAATGAAAACAGCTTGAGTTTGTGTTGATACACCTGGGTTCACATCCTGCCTTCATCATATCCTAGAAGAGTGACTTTACATATATTATTTGAGCTTTTTTTTCATGTATAAACAAGCATAATAATACCTACCTCTCAGTGTTATTGGGAGAATTAAGTAAATACATAGTGCCTAGAACAATTTTCAGCACATGGAAGATATTAACAATCATAGCTATTGCCATGATTGTCAGATATTGGGCCAAGAATAATTTTATGTCTTATAATCTGATGAATATAGTGTGCAAATTATTCTTTGAAAGGCATTTCTTTGATTTGGAGCACCAAGCATCTTAAGGACTTAGACATTTTCATTTTTCCTCTTTCTTCTCCTTCCTTCCCACTAACTTGTTCAAGGCACTCTTCATGTCTTCATTCCTAAGGGTATAGATAATGGGATTCAGCAGAGGGGTGACAGCAGTGAAAAACACAGACACCACCTTGTCCTCTGGCAGGCTGGTGGATGGGCGGGAATAGATGAAGATGCAGTGTCCCAGGAAGAGGGTGACTACCGTGAGGTGAGCTGCACACGTGGACAGGGCTTTCCGCCTGCCCTCAGAGATCTGCTGCCTCAGATTCACCAGGATGACGGCGTAGGACACCACCAGGACCACAAAACAGACCACAGAGATCACCCCACTGTTGGAGACAATGAGAATCTCAATGATGTGGGTATCGGTGCAGGCCAGTTTGATCACCTGTGGTACATCACAGAAGAAGTTGTCAATCTCATCAGGACCACAGTAGGGCAGCTTGATGGTGAGGGAAGTCAGAGCGATAGAGTGGATGGTCCCCCCTGTCCAGAGGGCCACAGCCAGCAGCACACATACCTTCCAGTTCATCACTATCATGTATTGCAGGGGTTTACAAATGGCCACATACCTATCATAGGCCATGACGGTGAGGAGGAAGATCTCTGTGCAGGCAAAGAGGTGCAGGAAGAACATCTGGGTCACACAGGCATCAAAAGAGATGAGCTTTTTTTCTGACCAGGTGTCTATCAGCATCTTGGGGACAGTGACAGTGGAGTGGCAGACATCAATAACAGACAGGTTGCTGAGGAAGAAATACATGGGTGTATGGAGCCGATGGTTATAGGTAATCGTTATGACAATGAGGATGTTCCCAATCAATGTCAGGACATAGAAAATGAGGAACATCGAAAACATAGCCATCTGTACCTTTTGATTTACAGATAAACCTCTAAGCCAAAAATATGCCACTAAAGAAGTTCGATTAAGTAGGACAGCCTCTTCCATTCTTTTTGTTGGTTCCTCCTGTCAAGAATTAGGAAAAAAAAATCCAAATATAACATTTAGTAGCTGCACCAATCATTTGGGCACTTAGTTTCTTGTGTGTTATGATTTTTCTCTCCATTTAGAATCTATGTTCAAATATTGTGTGTTTCATTTTGAAATCCCCATTCAACATTTTAAATCATGCTGTACACATAGTAGGTGCTAATCACACACTTTTGGAAAAATAGAATAGAGAATTCTGATTCACTAAGAGATATGAAATGACTTTGAAGAGAGAGAGGCAGAGACCAAACAAGTTTTTCTCCCGTACTGTACTAAGGTATCAAAGCTTAGATTTAGATTATACATTTTTACGGGAAAAAAAATTAAGGCTTTTCTGGCTCTAAATAAGTAATTTGTTCATAGCTACACAAATCTGGGCCTCGAACATAGTTTTCTTTATTGTCCAGCTGACTACACTTTTCAGTAAACTACTGACTCCCCTGTTGGCTTTAACACGGTGCTCTGAGACCGTCATTTCCATGATATGACTTTAGAAGGGCAGCAGCTTTTTACCAAGCTACTGGACAATTGAAATGTGGCTGTGGCTGTGATTTTTTTGAGCAGTTCTTTTTTTTTTTTTTTTTTGAGTTGGAATCTCACTCTGTCGCCCAGACTGGAGTGCAGTGGCCGCTCCCGGCCACCGCAGCCTCGAACTGCTGGGTTCCGGCGATCCTTCCGCTCAGCCTTCCAAGTAGCTGGAACTACAGGCGCGTGCTACTACGCCCGGCTAATTTTTGATTTACTGTAGAGACGCGGTCTCGCCAAGTTGCCCAGGTGGGTCTCGAACCTGCGGGCTCAGGCAATCCACTCACCTCAGCCTCCCAAGGCTCGGGATTACAGGCTGAGCCACCGAGCCCGGCTTGAGCAGTTCTTTACAGAAGGCAGGATAAAACTCTGGAAGCCTTAAAAAATCTGGAGAGAGTGAAGTGTGGCTTGCCTCTTCTCCACTGCACTGCTGAGGGCGGACTTGCTCGTTCTCAAGCTGGAGATCAAGCTCCAAGCCAGCCTAATAGCATTACTGTCTTCACTGGATTACTCCAGCTCTTTTTCTTTTTTCTTTTTTTTTGAGTTGGAGTCTCACTCTGTCGCCCAGACTGGAGCGCAGTGGCTGCTCCCGGCCACCGCAGCCTCGACCTGTTGGGCTCTGGCGGTCCTTCTGCCTTAGCCTTCCGAGTAGCCGGAATTACAGGCGCGGGCTACCACGCCGGCTGATTTTTTGATTTATTGTAGAGATGAGGTCTCGCCAAGTTGCCCAGGTGGGTCTCGAACCCACGGGCTCAGGCAATTCACTTACCTCAGCTTCCCAAAGTGTGGGATTACAGGCTGAGCCACCGAGCCCGGCCTCCAGTTCTTTTCAAAGTCCCATTCTGTTGTCTGATTTACTGCTCCACGAGTAAAACAAAAGCAGGTGCTTTATTTTCTTTTAAATTAACTGTCTGTGACAAAAGTATCACTGTTTTAAAAACAAGTATATGCATTATGTAAAATTATAGGATTTTGGCCCTTAAAAGGACTTGAGAGTTTGCATAATTATTATTTGTTTTCATTTTACAACTAGACAAAATGAGGCACAGAGCGGCAAAACAAATGATCTAAGTTTAGAATTGGAGTCACAGGTGAGTTTAGAGCTCAAGTCTCCTGACTTCTGGTCAGGACTCTCCCCACTCTACCTCCACTCTGATCTGAATTTTTGTAGTGGCTGTTAATTGGGGAGTCAAGTAGAATGTGTCTAAGTGACCTTCCTCCCTCTTTCTTCCCTTGGTCTTCTGAGTCAGATTGTATGTGTGTGGCATCTCTGGGGAGCCTCTCTGCTCCGGCTTGCCTCCTCCATGCCACTGACTTCATGCACAGCCTTCCAGGGGTGGCCCACCCAAGGGAGCTGTCTCTCTTGAATGCTTGGGCCCCATCATTCTACGCTACCTCCTTCCTATCAAGGATTACTACTGGTGCTTTATATCATCCCTCAAGATTAGGCTCGCTGATAGATGAATGAATCAACCATCACCGCTTATAAAAAAGGCTAGAGAAAGCTTCTTTTTTGCTCCTAGTTCTCTCTTTGTCCTCAGATATTTCCTATACCCCATGATGTTAGTCATCTGCAGATAATGGCCCTTTTTGCTGTCTCTATCAGAGGAAAGACTAATGATAGTGTCAAATCAAGGAACTTGCAAAGTAGATCAGTGGCAAAGAAGATATATTTGCGTCAGGAGAAGTCAGTCTTTCAGCTAACATTTAAAAATTAAACTCACTGTGTCTGGTACTTGGATTAACATTTACAGAAAAACCGCGATGATGTAGCTATCGATTAATTTTACTGTTTAGAGTTTTTTTTGTAGAGTATTTGCTTAAGGTTTTTTTTCCCAAAAAACTGTTTTAAGTGTTACTAATTTATGTCTGCTTCCATGGCTGCAAAGTTGAAACCTGGAGAACTGACCAACAATGGAGTCAAGGGTTTATTTTAAAATCAGTATGGGAAATTTCACCTGTACAGACCAGAAAGGGTGTGCAGATTCAGTACTGTGTCTGAAATGAAGACTTCTATTCCGTCCTCATATTATAGGGATATATGTATATTTTAACTAACCCTTTTCTTTCATCACCATTTTTTCCATTTCTGTGGAATCATAGAAAAACATGCTTTGAAAAATGGAGCTATGTTCAACTGCAATAGAAATTTTGTGATAGTCTATGTCAAGGCTATGGAGAACAAAAAGAAAACCAAACCTAGTGTTTATTACATACATTTCAGGAAAATAGGGGGAAATGATTAACAGCAAAAACAGAGTAAAACTGAAATAACTATAAAACTCACCCTGAGTTGTTTCTGATGGTTTCAGTATATCCAAAAGTAACTGATGTATCGGACCTGTGGTTTCAATATCAGGAGTATAATCTTTCAGTAGAAAGAACAATTTATTTGAAGTTGGACAAATCAAATAACTCCATTTACCTTAATTTTTTTTAAAATGAAAGATGAGAGCACTCACAGTTCCTTTGGGTCTTGTTCACAGTTCTGGTGATGTTACAGTAGGTGTATTTGTTGATATTTTCTGGTAAGAGGTACTATTTCAGGATTTCTGCAAAAATTACACCTTTGTATCTATATTATTATCATTTTTCAATATGTCAAAGCATGTAACTCCACGGTAAAATTTTCTAGGATTGATTTCCAGTTAACTGAAGATGTGGTATAGAAATGGCATTTTTTCCCACTTTTCCAGATTGTAGTGATGAGTAGAAAGGATTAAAAGCCACAATCAACCACTTTCACAAGTCATGCTAGTTTATCAAGGCACTTCTAACAAATAACTTGATCTAATTATTCAGAAAGCCAGTGTAGCTGAAGCATCCTGTTTTCTTAACAGCACACTCTTTAGGTGCAAATTTTGTACGGTTAGTTTCAGATGGAATAATTCCATCTTCAAGAACTGAAGGGGAATCCATAAAGAAAGAAAGCAGCTGGCACTGGCAGCTTTAGCATTGGTGTTTTTCTACCTGAATTATATAGGCTTTATGATCTTGGGAACGTAAAAGCAATGGCATCAGCTTGCCCTAGTCACTAGTTAGGAAAAGTTCATTCCATGGGGAATGAAGTTACAGACTTTGCAATCACCAATAAGAATTTGATGAGAAAACAATACTTCAACATCTAAATCTTTAGGATGTATTCACATGTGATTAAGTGAAGTACTATTTAGTGATTGCCTACTATGTGCTAAGTATTAAGTGATGGGCTTTCCTGTTTTCTTATTTAATCCATATGGAAATGCAGAGCTGAGGGAATAGGTAGACTAGGAGTTGAGGTTTTAGTCAACTCTCTGACCGAGAGATTAAGTGCTTTGATTCTAGAGTCAGATGGTCTAGGTGCACATTCCAATGTCTTAGATGTGCATATTTGGGCAACTCATTTAAGTTAGGTCTTCAGTTTTCCCATCCACAAAACATAAACAATAAGGTTAAAATTTTTTAGAACTCTTGAAATCTTTGCGAAGCATGTAGCACTTAGTGTGTTACCTATAGTAATATAATTATGTAATATGCAATTCAAACAAAAAATAAAAATAAAAAAACAAAAATAACAAGAACAAAAAACCCAACCTATCACCAACTACCAGCCAACATTTTAGGCTTCAGGTATTCATTAATTTGGATAACAGTAAAAATTTAAAACCTCTTGCTTTGATTCTTCTTTCATTTCCTCTGATGTATGAGCCTGGTGGTCTAAAAAGATTCCAAAAGAGAGGAAAATGGAGATTACACTTTGAGTTTGGATTTCAAGACTGAATAATTTTGTGGAATGGTTACAATATCTTACATAGAGAGTATGGAGGTGGAAATAGACCTTACAGCCAACCCCTCATGCAACAGTGTGCATAAGAGAAGAAGGCAATAGAGGGAACATGTCAAAGTCACCCAACATGCTTACTCCCCAGGCTTTGTGCCTTGGACTCCTTTTCCCTAGTTTTCTGTTGGAGTCATTATCTTCAATCAGAGACCAGACTTGGATGCACTGAGAAACCTGGAGCTTCCAGACTTACCACTGCTGCTACTTGGTCAATACGGGGCTTCTACTGTCACTATAACAGCCTTGGAAATCATGGTAGACATTAGGAAGAGGGATATTCTGGCCATACTCATTCTTTGTACTTTTGGAACTGAGATACTTTAACATAATAACATGGCATACAATGCAGAAAATAATGTTCCATGGATCATAGGGCAATTACTGATCAAATGCAAGGTTGAGCAATTAATTTTGACCTTTTTATATCACAGCTTCTGTACTTTCCCTCACCTCTTGATGGCCTTTCTCCCTGGCCCACGACTTCCTTCTGACTGTACACACACTGCCTCTTAGGAGTCCCACTCAGGCTTTTCCTCCCTGGATGCAAAGTCTCTCCCGTTTCAAAATTGCATGTTTCTATTTCCTCCATAGAATAAATGAAAGCAATGATTTATACTTGCATAGCACTTTAGGGTTTGCAAAGCTCTTTCACACTCATATTTTATTTGATCTTTGCAACACTCCCGTGAGGCAG